TGAGGGCATATACAGTTTCTCATTTTAAAATATACATGATGCTTCGCTTCAAGGGTTAGAGGGCCTAGACCAGGGGGAGGAAACCTTGGCTCTTTTTTGACTCGTGGACTCCAACTGCCAGAATTCCTGAGCCAGCCCTGCTGAGGAGAAATGGAGAGGTTTCCAATCTGAGCCATGCTGGCTCAGGAATTCTGGGAGTTGAAATCCACGAGTCATAAAAGAGCCAAGGTTGCCTACCCATGGCCTAGACATTGGTTGATAACATAGATATTTCTCAAATTTATATTATATTGTTTTATTAGTCTAGATGAAATGTTAATATATATTGCAAATCCAGGTATGATATGCCACATACTAAACAAATAAACACACACAAACAGAGAGAGAGAGAGAGAGAGAGAGACAGAGGGAGAGAGAGAGAGAGAGAGAGAGAGGGAAATTGGAACAGAGATTTAAAGATTTGCTCCCAAATGGGAAATATCTAGTGTAACCATTCCTTCCTGTTGCCTTGCCTTGTTTGCCCTGGTATTTATCACCACCATCATCCTATTTATAGTTATTTATGGAATTTTGTATTTGCCCACAATTGTCTTCACTGCAAAAAAAGTGTGGAAACAATTGACAATATTACCTGTCTCAGCCCGAGGGGTGACTAAAATAGCACAAACCGCAGGGACTAAAGACCTTCCTCAGCTCAGGACGGATTTTTAGGCCCTGTGTTGGGAAAGGAGGAGGCCATTTCTGTTGTCCAGAAATTCAGTGAGTGGTGATTGGATCTTGGATTCATCAATCAAAGGACAGTAACACTGAGTTCCTCCACTTAGTTTATATTCATGTTTATGTTTATACATTTACAATCTTTCTTGCCACAGCTGTTAAGTGAATCAAGTTATTAAGTTAGTAACAGGGTTGTTAAGTGAATCTGGCTTCTGTAAGGATTTTGATTTTCAAACTGTTGCAAAAGGCGATCGCATGACCTTCGGACATAGCAACAGTCATAAGTATGAACAAATGACAAAATTAGTGGACCAGAGGAATGCTGTGGATATAATTTACTATTACTATTATCAAATTGGAAAACATTTGAATTTTGATCACATGATCCTGGGACTACTAATAAGGTCGTAAGTGTGAAAAACCGTCATAAATCACTTTTTTCAGGGCTGTAACTTTCAACGGTCACTAAATGATCTGTTGTAAATTGAAGACTACCTGCAATATGTGTACTTGATCCTGCTTCCAATAGTTTTCCTCTACCTTCCATTGAAATTTCTCTAATCACTTCACAACTCTGAAGTCTATGCTTCAGAAAGACAGTCATGACGTTAACTACGTTTGTTCCTGTTTGGGGCATCATATCAAAGTTAGATATATTTATAAACTCAAAGAGGATACAAGGACAGCATTTAAAATATGAAAATAAATTGGAATCCTCCCATTGGAGGAAGAAAAAAAAAACTGTGTGAAACAATAGATGTTTCGGAAGTAAACCTGCAAACATGAAAAAAAATAAAAATTTGTTCTGTTTCTGTGAAGCATGTGGTTTAATATTTCACTATAACTGAAGTACAAGTTGTGAAGCTGTGTACTTTGAACCTGGGCTTTATTTTTTGTTTTTGTTTCTAGTTTATAATATTTGGAAATTGAAAAAAGAATATATTTGCTACTAGCAAGCTCGTTCCTGAAGAAAGAAGAAACGTCGCCATTTATTAGGGCAGCGAATGCTTCAAAATTTATTTAGAAGAGATTTAAGAACAGAGTCTCTCTCCTGGTCATTAAAAATCTCTAACTTTTTTCTCTTCGAGCCTGAAGTCACATTACCAGTAATGGTTGTCCTCAACGTAAGACTGAAATTGAGCCCTGACTTACAGTGGTAAGTTGCTGCAGTCACAAGTCGAGGCATCATGTGACTGGACCCAAATTTTCAACATTTTTAGAGTAGTTGTTAAGCAAATGCTGTAGTCGTTAAGCGAATGCTGAAGTCATTAAGTGTTCGCTGGGGCGCTGCAAACAGTTCTAAAGGTAATCAGGTGCCAAGAATCCAAAATGGGATCATGTGATCATGGAGGTGGGGATATGCGGACACCATAATGATTAAAATAAGTCATAAGTAGTTCTGGGTCAGTTCTTCATAATTTCAAATGGTCATTAGGCAAGCAGTCATAAATCGAGGACTACCTATAACGATTAAATAATAGTATTTTATTAGGGAAAACCCTCAGAGCTGTTAGATCTGGAAGGGGAGAGGAGGGGCTGCCCTGGGCCTTCCTGAGCCAGGGCATGGGAGGAGGTGATGCACGTCTGGCCAGCCTTATTGGAGCCATGTCCCAGTCAAGCGGGGCATCCACTGGCACACGTCCAGCTTGGGAGGAGCTGAAAGGGGAGCGCGAGCCCTGCACAGGATCAGAGCCTCCGCAGCCCCGAGGGGAGAGTGCACTATGTCCCCTCCCCTCCCTGGAGACCCTGTGTGAGGAGCCCTTCCTTGGGCAGGGGGTTGGTCTAAAAGCCACACCCTAGGATTGTATGATTCCTTCTGTGCTTTGTGCCACAATGATGGTGCTTCTCTGTTGTTCCTGTTCCCACCTGAAAGGAAGAGGCCAAAGGCCACCAAAGGAGTCAGCCACCGGGCCGCCCAGACACTGCTAAACCCAGGTGAGCTGCCCTCCTTGGGTAGGTTTAGAATGTGGCCCTTGTTTACCTAGTGGCCGAGGCAACGAGGTTGTCAGTTTCCCTGAAAAGCCACCAACCAGGGCCCAACTGCCCATTCTCCCTTCGTGCAGTGAAAGGACAAACAGCTGCTTGGGGTCATGGCTGTACGGAGGTTTTTTAGAGTAAGTGTGGCCGTCTCAGCTGCCAAGAAACTGGCAGTAGTAGGGGAGAAAGTCATGCTTCGCAACTCTTCCGACTGGCTAATCTCTATTTCTCTTTTCTTCACAGAACATCTGGAAAAGATGTTCGGCGCTCTTCTGCTGCAGGAAGAGCGACGTAGAGGACCTTCCTGTGCCTCCTGACAGGTACCACCCCCTTCTCCTCAAACCCTGGGCATGGTGGGGCCCCACTGATGGACTGCAGGGTCTCTAACAGCCTCTCCCCAAGATGGCTTTCTCTCGGCAAGCGGCTTGCAGAGGCCAAAAGATGGGAAGGCTGACTGGCTGGCTGGTCTTAGAAAGGAGAGGCAGAGCTAGATGGATATTTTTTGACATGTCATCTTTTTCTTTCGGTCAGAACTGACGAGGCACATGAACAGGCGGACCAGAAGGGAGAATGGTGGACACAGATTCGTGTGTCCGATGGACGCAGGCCTTCCTCCCCAGGGGTAAGGATGCTTCTGCGACATGGCCAGTCAGGGCTCATCCCTCATAACCGGATGGGGAAAGGGAGGAATTCTCACTTGGGGGAACCTGGCCAGCCTAGCAAAAGCAAGAGGAGCCTTTTGGATTCATGGAAAGATCTTGATGGCTTCCTATCAGCCAAATCTTCCATGATCTGCTCTGTCTTTCCCTGTTGAATGCAGTCTTTCCCTCCTGGGGAAGATAAACGTTCCACAACATGCAGGGGACTTTTAATTTATACTTTCAATTGTTACTTGCAGGGTTTGATGGGTGTTCGTGCCACCGCCCGGAGCCCCAGGAAGGAAGAGGTGATGCCAGTTCTCATTTCAGTGAGGTAGGTGTTCGCAGATTAAGTATTCTGAACCCCCTAAAAGGCAGCCGCAGTAAAGCCCTAAAGAGAAGGGCTAGAAGAAACCTTTGCAGAGGCAGGGGGGGCATCGCATGGCTAGTTTTGATCTTTGGCCCTTCATTCTCTCCCTAGAAATGAGAAGATAGCGAAGTGGAGGCCGCGGCTCTCAACCATCTGGGAGACCTGCACTGAGTCGGTAAGCCCAGACCAGCTCCTCACCATGGCAATGGCAGAAGCCCTTTCGCTGTGGATTTGTTGATATGCCAACATTTGTAATATTTGCATTGTTATTTCAGGATCCTTCGGAAGAATACCGACCAAGAGAGGTGCAGGAGGAAAGCAGTGCCTGCCTATCAAGGTAGGTAACACCTCAGAGGGTGAAGCTTTTGCAGAGAGGAGGCATCTCTGACCTCTGCCTCTGCTTCTGCTAAAGGAAGAATCAAAGGCCAATCTCCTTGGCAGGCCAGCTGGAAGGGTTCTTAGAGCCTCCACGTCACCACTTTTTTAAAAAGGGCCCATGGCTGTTTTTGATGTTTGGCTCCTTCGTTTCTCTCCCCAGAGAGGAAAAGGAAGAGCACTGGAGGCCGCGACTCCCCCCCAGATCAGAGACCTGCAGAGAATCGGTAAGGCGTGAACAACTTCTACCCCACTAAACGAAGAACCATTGTCTCTGTGGAGATGCCAACAGACAGAATCTTTGCCTTTTTATTTCAGGACGAAGAAGACCAGCCGGCGGAGGAGCAGCTCTCTCCTACTGGGGAGAAGACGCATACTTCGGAGGTAAGAAAGTCTTGGCAATGGGGCCGATGGAGGCTCTCTTGCTGTTGGCGCACAGGGCCTGAATGCACCCTATCCTTTAGCAATCTTATTGGGATGCAGAAAGCTTAGGATTTATCCTCGATACTGTCATTTGCAGGATTCGATGGAAGTCCTGGTGGGCTCCCGGAACAACAGCCTGGAGGATTTTGACTCCATTTCTGCCCTCTTGGATGAGGAGTCTGAGGGAAGTTGGGAGCAGGCTGCAGAGGCTTCGGAGGCCAGCCTTTCGTCCAGTCCGTGGGTAAGACAGACAAAGTGTTTTCTCTTGGGGAGGGATAGAGTCCCTCTATTCAGTTCTCCTAATCTGAGTGAACTGTGCTGGAGAGCTCTGGGCAGTGGATAAAGGTGACACCTGGCCCTTGGGACAAGGTACTTAGGCTAACTAGAAGAACCCAAGCTGTGTTGCGATTGATTTACTGCAAACCAGAAGGGAAGGGCCAATTCAGTGGACTGGGGTCCTAAATAGATATGGCCCACCCTGTTTATCCCTTTCATTTTTCTGCATCATCCTCTCCAGCAACCAGCTGTTTCCAGGCAGGGCTTTAACGGGCAGAGTGGGTGGGAGTGGGGATTGCAACAGAAGCATTGTTTCTGATGGGAATCCCAAATCAATCGGGCCCCTTTTAGAAATTCTGAGTCTACTTTCATTGATGGATAAAAAGTCATCATTGTCATTCACAGGATTCTCCCGAAGAAGGGGAAGCCTCGCTGGACACTGTCAGCAGCCTGGAGGAGGACTCCCTGGACCTCAGTCTCTAATTAAAAGAGGTACCTATTTTAGCCTCTTTGTGGATCAATGCCTTGCTCAAGGAAACAATGAGCTCTGACGGGCCGGGTCACCCAAGTCAGACAGGTCATAGTGCAGAGTGCTGACATAACGTGGTGCACTGGAAAAGGAAATGGCAACCCTCTCCTTACTTTTGATACCCCACAAAAAGTATCAAAAGTAACTCCAGAAAGAACAAAGTTTGTATACTTTTATAGAAAGAGTGTGGTACTAAGAATAGCCTTTGATTCCTCCCCCAGACGCTTCCCCAGATGCCTCTCCAGAAGGCAGATCGGAGGAGGATGAACCAGTCCCAGGCACATCAGGAGGTGAGTTGGCCAATGCCTCTGAGCAGCCAGCGGAGAGTGATTTGGCTGAAGCACAGCTGCAGCAGGAGAGCCCTGAGACTTCCGGGTAGCTGCAGATGGTTAGCTTTGAGCAGGAACTGCTTTCTGCACTATCCGAGAACAACTAGGGAAGAGAAAAGGCAGGAGCAGCAAAGGGCGGTTCTTTCACTCACGAGGAGGTAGTCTTGCCTTTCTTGATGGGCTGCACCAGAAGCTGGCAATTGAGCACAGCAGACAAATGGAGGCCATGCTGGGAACAATGCATTCATGACTAGGGGGTTGGAGTAGAAGACCTCCAAGGTCCCTTCCAACTCTTGGTATTCTATCTGCATATAGACGGATGGCGGAATCAGCCCCAGCGGCGAAGCCCTGCGAGGAGCCACTTTCCAACGAGGACGTTCCTGCGTCTTGTTAATGTTATTGTTGTAATTCTTTTTGTTGTACCTGTTGTTGTTGTGCATCTTCTTGTTTTTGTTCTTGTTGTTTGAGAATAAAACTAAAAAATTCTTTATATCTGCTAATTTAGTTTAAACCTAGTTTCATTACACTTTTGTTATGAATAACAAACTTTTCATTAAATGCAGAATTTCAGCAAACTTCTTTGTCTGTTTTCTCGTATTTTTTCCACCGTTCTATGGGATACAGTGATTAGTATTCACTTACAATATTAATGGAAACCTGACACTTCCAGAGGTTCCTCAGCTACGCGCAAGTAGTCCTCAACTTACCACAATTGATCCACAAATTTATCTTTTAAATACAACATTTGTTTAGTGACTTTTGCCCCATTTTACGACCTTTCTTCCCACAGTTGTTAAGCAGATCACTGCAGTTGTTAAGATAGTAATACAGTTGTTAAGAGAATGTGGCTTCCCCCTTGTTTTTGCTTGCCAGAAGGACTCAAAAGTTGATCACATGACCCCGGGACACTGCTACAGTCATAAACATGAGTCAGTTGCCAAGCATCTGAATATCGATCATGTGACTAAGGGGCTACTGCAACGGACGTAAGTGTGAAAAAAGATCATAAGTCCCTTTTTTCAGTGCCGTTGTAACTTTGAACAGTCACTAAGTGATCTGTCGTAAGTAGAGGATTACCTGTACTTTCTGAACATCAACCAGTGTATTGTCTAGTAAGAAGGAGAATTTTGTTCAGCAACATCAGGAAGATCTGTCCTTGGAATATCATGATTGGAGGCACAGAAAGCACTGTAGATCTGCTACTGGGACAGAAAGTTTGCATTCTTTCAGAAGAAGGAATTTTACAAAAGAATACCCAAATTACATTGGCTAAGAGGCTATAATTTCTTGCAACTCATGCTAGCTTGTTGCACACACTAGCAAAATACCGTATATAAGATACACAAATGGGACAGCTAAAATGGCAGGGAAAGTGTATGTCCTATCCAGACGTGAACAATTTCCATGCCAGTGATTTCAATTAAACTGTAAATAAAAATGATCATGTGAATGGCAACATAGCATACCTTGCTTTGTTATTCTCCTCTCAGTAACCTTGTTAATTGGTACTACATTTTCCATTGAAAAAGATGTGTTGCTTCACGTTTAGTAAGAATAAGAATATAAGGTATTTAGGGCTTGGATTCAAAGGCTTGATGTTTGCCCTCTCCCCCATCTGCACTCATGCAATTGCATTGTGGGCAATCAGCAACCAGATCACATTCAGAGCTTTTTGCAGCATCCCACAATCACGTGACTACAGCTTACAATGTTTTGCTGGCGTTGACTACCAATATCTGGTAAAAAATGCCCATTCTGAAAAATGGGTACACTTAACGACTGCAGCTTTCATTTAATGACCGCTGCAAACACCGTTGTAGAATAGGTTTGGTCACATGATGTCCTACTTAATCACCAGTAAGACTTACCGTCTTAATTCCAGACTGGTATTAGGTGCCAAATGCTATTACTCTTTTTTTAAAGATATGAAAGATTATCAGTATTATCCTCTGTGCATCTCCATCGACAAAACCGCATTTGCATACAGCTCTGCAATTCAACCCCTCTAACCGATTTTCTCTGGAGAGGTGAGCGCAACTCCCAGACTGGCCATTTCTCTCCATGTAAATGGTGGCCTGACAGCGACTGCAATCTGACCGCTTATAGAGAGGCACCAATTTCATCTGGCACAGGCAAACACATGTCAACTTCCCAACCAAAAGTACAAGTAGTGCTCGACTTACAACCACAATGGAGCCTAAAATTTCTGTTGTCAAGAGAGACATTTGTTAATGGAATTTTGCCCCATTTTATGACCTTTCTTTCCACAGTTATTAAGTGAATCACTCCAGTTCATAAGCGAGTAACCTGGTTGTTAAGTGAATCTGGCTTCCCCATTGACTTTGCTTGTCAGAAGGTCACAAAAGGAGGTGACATGACCTTGGGACACAGCAACGGTCATAAGTATGAACCAGTTGCCAAGCATCTGAATTTTGATCACAGAATCATGGGGTGCTGCAAAGGGGGTAACTGTGAAAAACGAACATATGTCACTTTTTTCAGTGACGTTGTAACTTCGAATGGTCACTAAATGAACAGTGGTAAGTTGAGGACTTCCTGTAATTTGGAGGGCTATTTCTTCTATAGACAAGGAGCACTGATGATGTCTTGCAATATACATCTTAAAATAAATAACCAACCTGGAAACATTTTTGGAATACGAGTTTACTTACAGAAGAAAGATTCTATATTTACCATTTAATAATAGGCTGGAAGATAAAACCCCAAAAAGATATTTATCAGAGGCCATAAAAGTCACTTAGAAGCTGAATTTAACAGAATGACAGAGTTGGAAGGGACCTTGGAGATCTTTTAGTCCAACCTCCTAGAATTCCAGAAGTGAAGAAGGGGTTTCCAAGTTGAAAAAAAAGTACTCATGTGTTGTTGTTGTTTTCATCAAAGGAGTCAATTTAGCCATCTCTGCTACCTCCATCAACTTTTGCAACCATTCCTCCATTGTGGAGATCGAAATGTCCTTCCCTTTTTGTACATAAAGTAGTCTTGCTACCATCAACGTATATAACATTGAAGTTCCATCATTGTTTCCAAGTCTTTTTTCCATTAAGCCAAAAAGAACAGTTTCTGCTTTTACCTTTATATTCATTTTCAGAATTTTCTGTATTAGAATAGAAATCCTACTCCAATATTTCTTTACTTTATCACATGTCCACCGTAAATGATAAAAGCTCCCTTGGGCCAGGATGTTTTTCAGGGGGCTGTGAATGTAGACACGAGTTGCCTCTGGTGTGATGCGTATTTTGGTCGTTGATGATGCCGACAATATTGCAATGATTAATGTTAATTATTATTTACTGCCAAAAGTCATATTGCAAATGGGTACCTATATATATTGAAATAGAAAAAGCTTTATTGATTATCTAGAGATAACTCCCAACTTTTCAGCATTTTCCAAGTTCCCCACATCCAAATGCCACTCAAGCACTGCTCTAGGCCGCTGACCACAGTAACCGAGCTACACAAATATTGTATAGTAAGGATGGGTTGTCAAAATGAAATACAATAACAGAAGAACGAATCCTCCTTTATCAGAAGTCCTAGGAGGCAAAGAATGCATAAATGCAGAAGAAAAGTTTGATTTTTAAGAGACACCAGAGCTGTTATTTCAATCAGTGCATTCCCCAATGTTATTGCCATGTGATAACAACAACAAGGGCCAGAATGCAATAGGTCTGTCACTAACAACTATGGAAAACCCGCTACTTGCCATTTCCACGATTCTTCTCATAAAGTCTAGTCATTTGCTAAATCCACTAAATACGATGACTGAGCAGCTACTGTTTTACCATAATATCCTACAAAACAGAGAAAGGCATGATAAAAAAGAGAATCTAAGATGTCATGTTGAGATAAATTAAGGAAGTGCGAATGGCTATAGCTCTTTCCCACCTTTACAAAGCCGTTGTTTTAGTAGAGTGTATTGAGAGGAAACGAAGAACCCTGCAAAATTATACTGGGTTATCCAGTTGGTTACATGGAGGTTAAGTGAATCTGGCTTCTGCATTGATTTTGCTTTTCAAACTGTTGCAAAAGGTGAACACGTCACCTTAGGACACAGCAAGAGTCATAAGTATGAACATAAGTATGTCAAGGATCTAACGTTTGATCACGTCACACTATAAGTGTGAAAAATGATCATAAGTCACTTTTTTGCTGTTGTCATAACTTTAAACGGTCACTAAGTGAACGGTAGGAGGTTGAGGACTACCTGTACTAGTCTAGCTCAATCTTGACATAAGGTTAAATAATAAATGTAAAGGTTTGGCCTGACAGCTGAAGAAAATGTAAAGACCAGCCACTACATTCTGCCAGCGAAGCAGAAAATAAAGGGAACTAACAGGATGAGGAACAATTCTGGGCCAGGACAATTTAAACAACAATTAGCATTAGGTCTCAGAAACAGCAAACAGGTGTTGAAACACACACAAACTGAGGATCCCACGTCACACTGTACATCACATCATGCCCCACTGTAAACTGAGGGCATATACAGTTTCTCATTTTAAAATATACATGATGCTTCGTTTCAAGGGTTAGAGGGCCTAGACCAGGGGGAGGAAACCTTGGCTCTTTTTTGACTCGTGGACTCCAACTGCCAGAAGTCCTGAGCCAGCCATGCTGAGGAGAAATGGAGAGGTTTCCAATCTGAGCCATGCTGGCTCAGGAATTCTGGGAGTTGAAATCCACGAGTCATAAAAGAGCCAAGGTTGCCTATCCATGGCCTAGACATTGGTTTACAACATAGATATTTCTCAAATTTATATTATATTGTTTTATTAGTCTAGATGAAATGTTAATATATATTGCAAATCTAGGTATGATATGCCACATACTAAACAAATAAACACACACAAACAGAGAGAGAGGGAGAGAGAGAGAGAGAGAGAGAGAAAGACACACAGAGAGAGAGGGAAATTGGAACAGAGATTTAAAGATTTGCTCCCAAATGGGAAATATCCAGTGTAACCATTCCTTCCTGTTGCCTTGCCTTGTTTTGCGCTGGTATTTATCACCACCAGCATCCTATTTATAGTTATTTATGGAATTTTGTATTTGCCCACAATTGTCTTCACTGCAAAAAAGTGTGGAAACAATTGACAATATTACCTGTCTCAGCCCGAGGGGTGACTAAAACAGCACAAACCGCAGGGACTAAAGACCTTCCTCAGCTCAGGACGGATTTTTAGGCCCTGTGTTGGGAAAGGAGGAGGCCATTTCTGTTGTCCAGAAATTCAGTGAGTGGTGATTGGATCTTGGATTCATCAATCAAAGGACAGTAACACTGAGTTCCTCCACTTAGTTTATATTCATGTTTATGTTTATACATTTACAATCTTTCTTGCCACAGCTGTTAAGTGAATCAAGTTGTTAAGTTAGTAACAGGGTTGTTAAGTGAATCTGGCTTCTGTAAGGATTTTGATTTTCAAACTGTTGCAAAAGGCGATCGCATGACCTTCGGACATAGCAACAGTCATAAGTATGAACAAATGACAAAATTAGTGGACCAGAGGAATGCTGTGGATATAATTTACTATTACTATTATCAAATTGGAAAACATTTGAATTTTGATCACATGATCCTGGGACTACTAGTAAGGTCGTAAGTGTGAAAAACCGTCATAAATCACTTTTTTCAGGGCTGTAACTTTCAACGGTCACTAAATGATCTGTTGTAAATTGAAGACTACCTGCAATATGTGTACTTGATCCTGATTCCAATAGTTTTCCTCTACCTTCCATTGAAATTTCTCTAATCACTTCACAACTCTGAAGTCTATGCTTCAGAAAGACAGTCATGACGTTAACTACGTTTGTTCATGTTTGGGGCATCATATCAAAGTTAGATATATTTATAAACTCAAAGAGGATACAAGGACAGCATTTAAAATATGAAAATAAATTGGAATCCTCCCATTGGAGGAAGAAAAAAAAACTGTGTGAAAAAATAGATGTTTCGGAAGTAAACCTGCAAACATGAAAAAAAATAAAAATTTGTTCTGTTTCTGTGAAGCATGTGGTTTAATATTTCACTATAACTGAAGTACAAGTTGTGAAGCTGGGTACTTTGAACCTGGGCTTTATTTTTTGTTTTTGTTTCTAGTTTATAATATTTGGAAATTGAAAAAAGAATATATTTGCTACTAGCAAGCTCATTCCTGAAGAAAGAAGAAACGTCGCCATTTATTAGGGCAGCGAATGCTTCAAAATTTATTTAGAAGAGATTTAAGAACAGAGTCTCTCTCCTGGTCATTAAAAATCTCTAACTTTTTTCTCTTCGAGCCTGAAGTCACATTACCAGTAATGGTTGTCCTCAACGTAAGACTGAAATTGAGCCCTGAATTACAGTGGTAAGTTGCTGCAGTCACAAGTCGAGGCATCATGTGACTGGACCCAAATTTTCAACATTTTTAGAGTAGTTGTTAAGCAAATGCTGTAGTCGTTAAGCGACTGCTGAAGTCATTAAGTGTTCGCTGGGGCGCTGCAAACAGTTCTAAAGGTAATCAGTTGCCAAGAATCCAAAATGGGATCATGTGATCATGGAGGTGGGGATATGCGGACACCATAATGATTAAAATAAGTCATAAGTAGTTCTGGGTCAGTTCTTCATAATTTCAAATGGTCATTAAGCAAGCAGTCATAAATCGAGGACTACCTATAACGATTAAATAATAGTATTTTATTAGGGAAAACCCTCAGAGCTGTTAGATCTGTAAGGGGAGAGGAGGGGCTGCCCTGGGCCTTCCTGAGCCAGGGCATGGGAGGAGGTGATGCACGTCTGGCCAGCCTTATTGGAGCCATGTCCCAGTCAAGCGGGGCATCCACTGGCACACGTCCAGCTTGGGAGGAGCTGAAAGGGGAGCGCGAGCCCTGCACATGATCAGAGCCTCCGCAGCCCCGAGGGGAGAGTGCACTATGTCCCCTCCCCTCCCTGGAGACCCTGTGTGAGGAGCCCTTCCTTGGGCAGGGGGTTGGTCTAAAAGCCACACCCTAGGAGTGTATGATTCCTTCTGTGCTTTGTGCCACACTGATGGTGCTTCTCTGTTGTTCCTGTTCCCACATGAAAGGAAGAGGCCAAAGGCCACCAAAGGAGTCAGCCACCGGGCCGCCCAGACACTGCTAAACCCAGGTGAGCTGCCCTCCTTGGGTAGGTTTAGAATGTGGCCCTTGTTTACCTAGTTGCCGAGGCAACGAGGTTGTCAGTTTCCCTGAAAAGCCACCAACCAGGGCCCAACTGCCCATTCTCCCTTCGTGCAGTGAAAAGACAAACAGCTGCTTGGGGTCATGGCTGTACGGAGGTTTTTTAGAGTAAGTGTGGCCGTCTCAGCTGCCAAGAAACTGGCAGTAGTAGGGGAGAAAGTCATGCTTCGCAACTCTTCCGACTGGCTCATCTCTATTTCTCTTTTCTTCACAGAACGTCTGGAAAAGTTGTTCGGCGCTCTTCTGCTGCAGGAAGAGCGACGTAGAGGACCTTCCTGTGCCTCCTGACAGGTACCACCCCCTTCTCCTCAAACCCTGGGCATGGTGGGGCACCACTGATGGACTGCAGGGTCTCTAACAGCCTCTCCCCAAGATGGCTGTCTCTCGGCAAGCGGCTTGCAGAGGCCAAAAGATGGGAAGGCTGACTGGCTGGCTGGTCTTAGAAAGGAGAGGCAGAGCTAGATGGATATTTTTTGACATGTCATCTTTTTCTTTCGGTCAGAACTGACGAGGCACATGAACAGGCGGACCAGAAGGGAGAATGGTGGACACAGATTCGTGTGTCCGATGGACGCAGGCCTTCCTCCCACGGGGTAAGGATGCTTCTGCGACATGGCCAGTCAGGGCTCATCCCTCATAACCGGATGGGGAAAGGGAGGAATTCTCACTTGGGGGAACCTGGCCAGCCTAGCAAAAGCAAGAGGAGCCTTTTGGATTCATGGAAAGTTCTTGATGGCTTCCTATCAGCCAAATCTTCCATGATCTGCTTTGTCTTTCCCTGTTGAATGCAGTCTGTCCCTCCTGGGGAAGATAAACGTTCCACAACATGCAGGGGACTTTTAATTTATACTTTCAATTGTTACTTGCAGGGTTTGATGGGTGTTCGTGCCACCGCCCGGAGCCCCAGGAAGGAAGAGGTGATGCCAGTTCTCATTTCAGTGAGGTAGGTGTTCGCAGATTAAGTATTCTGAACCCCCCTAAAAGGCAGCCGCAGTAAAGCCCTAAAGAGAAGGGCTCGAAGAAACCTTTGCAGAGGCAGGGGGGGCATCGCATGGCTAGTTTTGATCTTTGGCCCTTCATTCTCTCCCTAGAAATGAGAAGATAGCGAAGTGGAGTCCGCGGCTCTCAACCATCTGGGAGACCTGCACTGAGTCGGTAAGCCCAGACCAGCTCCTCACCATGGCAATGGCAGAAGCCCTTTCGCTGTGGATTTGTTGATATGCCAACATTTGTAATATTTGCATTGTTATTTCAGGATCCTTCGGAAGAATACCGACCAAGAGAGGTGCAGGAGGAAAGCAGTGCCTGCCTATCAAGGTAGGTAACACCTCAGAGGGTGAAGCTTTTGCAGAGAGGAGGCATCTCTGACCTCTGCCTCTGCTTCTGCTAAAGGAAGAATCAAAGGCCAATCTCCTTGGCAGGCCAGCTGGAAGGGTTCTTAGAGCCTCCACGTCACCACTTTTTTAAAAAGGGCCCATGGCTGTTTTTGATGTTTGGCTCCTTCGTTTCTCTCCCCAGAGAGGAAAAGGACGAGCACTGGAGGCCGCGACTCCCCCCCAGATCAGAGACCTGCAGAGAATCGGTAAGGCGCGAACAACTTCTACCCCACTAAACGAAGAACCATTGTCTCTGTGGAGATGCCAACAGACCGAATCTTTGCCTTTTTATTTCAGGACGAAGAAGACCAGCCGGCGGAGGAGCAGCTCTCTCCTACTGGGGAGAAGACGCATACTTCGGAGGTAAGAAAGTCTTGGCAATGGGGCCGATGGAGGCTCTCTTGCTGTTGGCGCACAGGGCCTGAATGCACCCTATCCTTTAGCAATCTTATTGGGATGCAGAAAGCTTAGGATTTATCCTCGATACTGTCATTTGCAGGATTCGATGGAAGTCCTGGTGGGCTCCCGGAACAACAGCCTGGAGGATTTTGACTCCATTTCTGCCCTCTGGGATGAGGAGTCTGAGGGAAGCTGGGAGCAGGCTGCAGAGGCTTCGGAGGCCAGCCTTTCGTCCAGTCCGTGGGTAAGACAGACAAAGTGTTTTCTCTTGGGGAGGGATAGAGTCCCTCTAGTCAGTTCTCCTAATCTGAGTGAACTGTGCTGGAGAGCTCTGGGCAGTGGATAAAGGTGACACCTGGCCCTTGGGACAAGGTACTTAGGCTAACTAGAAGCACCCAAGCTGTGTTGCGATTGATTTACTGCAAACCAGAAGGGAAGGGCCAATTCAGTGGACTGGGGTCCTAAATAGATATGGCCCATCCTGTTTATCCCTTTCATTTTTCTGCATCATCCTCTCCAGCAACCAGCTGTTTCCAGGCAGGGCTTTAACGGGCAGAGTGGGTGGGAGTGGGGATTGCAACAGAAGCATTGTTTCTGATGGGAATCCCAAATCAATTGGGCCCCTTTTAGAAATTCTGAGTCTACTTTCATTGATGGATAAAAAGTCATCATTGTCATTCACAGGATTCTCCCGAAGAAGGGGAAGCCTCGCTGGACACTGTCAGCAGCCTGGAGGAGGACTCCCTGGACCTCAGTCTCTAATTAAAAGAGGTACCTATTTTAGCCTCTTTGTGGATCAATGCCTTGCTCAAGGAAACAATGAGCTCTGACGGGCAGGGTCACCCAAGTCAGACAGGTCATAGTGCAGAGTGCTGACATAACGTGGTGCACTGGAAAAGGAAATGGCAACCCTCTCCTTACTTTTGATACCCCACAAAAAGTATCAAAAGTAACTCCAGAAAGAACAAAGTTTGTATACTTTTATAGAAAGAGTGTGGTACTAAGAATAGCCTTTGATTCCTCCCCCAGACGCTTCCCCAGATGCCTCTCCAGAAGGCAGATCGGAGGAGGATGAACCAGTCCCAGGCACATCAGGAGGTGAGTTGGCCAATGCCTCCGAACAGCCAGCGGAGAGTGATGTGGCTGAAGCACAGCTGCAGCAGGAGAGCCCTGAAACTTCCGGGCAGCTGCAGATGGTTAGCTTTGAGCAGGAACTGCTTTCTGCATTATCCGAGAACAACTAGGGAAGAGAAAAGGCAGGAGCAGCAAAGGGCGGTTCTTTCACTCACGAGGAGGTAGTCTTGCCTTTCTTGATGGGCTGCACCAGAAGCTGGCAATTGAGCACAGCAGACAAATGGAGGCCATGCTGGGAACAATGCATTCATGACTAGGGGGTTGGAGTAGAAGACCTCCAAGGTCCCTTCCAACTCTTGGTATTCTATCTGCATATAGACGGATGGCGGAATCAGCCCCAGCGGCGAAGCCCTGCGAGGAGCCACTTTCCAACGAGGAAGTTCCTGCGTCTTGTTAATGTTATTGTTGTAATTCTTTTTGTTGTACCTGTTGTTGTTGTGCATCTTCTTGTTTTTGTTCTTGTTGTTTGAGAATAAAACTAAAAAATTCTTTATATCTGCTAATTTAGTTTAAACCTAGTTTCATTACACTTTTGTTAGGAATAACAAACTTTTCATTAAATGCAGAATTTCAGCAAACTTCTTTGTCTGTTTTCTCATATTTTTTCCACTGTTCTATGGGATACAGTGATTAGTATTCACTTACAATATTAATGGAAACCTGACACTTCCAGAGGTTCCTCAGCTACGCGCAAGTAGTCCTCAACTTACAACAATTGATCCACAAATTTATCTTTTAAATACAACATTTGTTTAGTGACTTTTGCCCCATTTTACGACCTTTCTTCCCACAGTTGTTAAGCAGATCACTGCAGTTGTTAAGATAGTAACACAGTTGTTAAGAGAATATGGCTTCCCCATTGTTTTTGCTTGCCAGAAGGACTCAAAAGTTGATCACATGACCCCGGGACACTGCTACAGTCATAAACATGAGTCAGTTGCCAAGCATCTGAATATCGATCATGTGACTAAGGGGCTACTGCAACGGACGTAAGTGTGAAACAAGATCATAAGTCCCTTTTTACAGTGCCGTTGTAACTTTGAACAGTCACTAAGTGAACTGTCGTAAGTGGAGGATTACCTGTACTTTCTGAACATCAACCAGTGTATTGTCTAGTAAGAAGGAGAATTTTGTTCAGCAACATCAGGAAGATCTGTCCTTGGACCATCATGATTGGAGGCACAGAAAGCACTGTAGATCTGCTATGGGGGCAGAAAGTTTGCATTCTTCCAGAAGAAGGAATTTTACAGAAGAATACCCAAGTTACACTGGCTAAGAGGCAATAATTTCTTGCAACTCATGCTAGATTGTTGCACACACTAGCAAAATACCGTATATAAGATACACAAATGGGACAGCTAAAATGGCAAGGAAAGTGTATGTCCTATCCAGACGTGAACAATTTCCATGCCAGTGATTTCCATTAAACTGTAAATAAAAATGATCATGTGAATGGCACCATAGCATACCTTGCTTTGTTATTCTCCTCTCAGTAACCTTGTTAATTGGTACTACATTTTCCATTGAAAAAGATGTGTTGCTTCACGTTTAGTAAGAATAAGAATATAAGGTATTTAGGGCTTGGATTCAAAGGCTTGATGTTTGCCCTCTCCCCCATCTGCACTCATGCAATTGCATTGTGGGCAATCAGCAACCAGATCACATTCAGAGCTTTTTGCAGCATCCCACAATCACGTGACTACAGCTTACAATGTTTTGCTGGCGTTGACTACCAATATCGGGTAAAAAATGCCCATTCTGAAAAATGGGTACACTTAACGACTGCAGCTTTCATTTAATGACCGCTGCAAACACCGTTGTAGAATAGGTTTGGTCACATGATGTCTTACTTAATCACCAGTAAGACTTACCGTATTAATTCCAGACTGGTATTAGGTGCCAAATGCTATTACTCTTTTTTTAAAGATATGAAAGATTATCAGTATTATCCTCTGTGCATCTCCATCTACAAAACCGCATTTGCATACAGCTCTGCAATTCACCCCTCTAACCGATTTTCTCTGGAGAGGTGAGCGCAACTCCCAGACTGGCCATTTCTCTCCATGTAAATGGTGGCCTGACAGCGACTGCAATCTGACCGCTTATAGAGAGGCACCAATTTCATCTGGCACAGGCAAACACATGTCAACTTCCCAACCAAAAGTACAAGTAGTGCTCGACTTACAACCACAATGGAGCCTAAAATTTCTGTTGTCAAGAGAGACATTTGTTAATGGAATTTTGCCCCATTTTATGACCTTTCTTGCCACAGTTATTAAGTGAATCACTCCAGTTCATAAGCGAGTAACCTGGTTGTTAAGTGAATCTGGCTTCCCCATTGACTTTGCTTGTCAGAAGGTCACAAAAGGAGGTGACATGACCTTGGGACACAGGAACGGTCATAAGTATGAACCAGTTGCCAAGCATCTGAATTTTGATCACAGAATCATGGGGATGCTGCAAAGGGGGTAACTGTGAAAAACGAACATATGTCACTTTTTTCAGTGACGTTGTAACTTCGAATGGTCACTAAATGAACAGTGGTAAGTTGAGGACTTCCTGTAATTTGGAGGGCTATTTCTTCTATAGACAAGGAGCACTGATGATGTCTTGCAATATACATCTTAAAATAAATAACCAACCTGGAAACATTTTTGGAATACGAGTTTACTTACAGAAGAAAGATTCTATATTTACCATTTAATAATAGGCTGGAAGATAAAACACCAAAAAGATATTTATCAGAGGCCATAAAAGTCACTTAGAAGCTGAATTTAACAGAATGACAGAGTTGGAAGGGACCTTGGAGATCTTTTAGTCCAACCTCCTAGAATTCCAGAAGTGAAGAAGGGGTTTCCAAGTTGAAAAAAAAGTACTCATGTGTTGTTGTTGTTTTCATCAAAGGAGTCAATTTAGCCATCTCTGCTACCTCCATCAACTTTTGCAACCATTCCTCCATTGTGGAGATCGAAATGTCCTTCCCTTTTTGTACATAAAGTAGTCTTGCTACCATCAACGTATATAACATTGAAGTTCCATCATTGTTTCCAAGTCTTTTTTCCATTAAGCCAAAAAGAACAGTTTCTGCTTTTACCTTTATAGTCACTTTCAGAATTTTCTGTATTAGAATAGAAATCCTACTCCAATATTTCTTTACTTTATCACATGTCCACCGTAAATGATAAAAGCTCCCTTGGGCCAGGATGTTTTTCAGGGGGCTGTGAATGTAGACACGAGTTGCCTCTGGTGTGATGCGTATTTTGGTCGTTGATGATGCCGACAATATTGCAATGATTAATGTTAATTATTATTTACTGCCAAAAGTCATATTGCAAATGGGTACCTATATATATTGAAATAGAAAAAGCTTTATTGATTATCTAGAGATAACTCCCAAATTTTCAGCATTTTCCAAGTTCCCCACATCCCAATGCCACTCAAGCACTGCTCTAGGCCGCTGACCACAGTAACCGAGCTACACAAATATTGTATAGTAAGGATGGGTTGTCAAAATGAAATACAATAACAGAAGAACGAATCCTCCTTTATCAGAAGTCCTAGGAGGCAAAGAATGCATAAATGCAGAAGAAAAGTTTGATTTTTAAGAGACACCAGAGCTGTTATTTCAATCAGTGCATTCCCCAATGTTATTGCCATGTGATAACAACAACAAGGGCCAGAATGCAATAGGTCTGTCACTAACAACTATGGAAAACCCGCTACTTGCCATTTCCACGATTCTTCTCATAAAGTCTAGTCATTTGCTAAATCCACTAAATACGATGACTGAGCAGCTACTGTTTTACCATAATATCCTACAAAAGAGAGAAAGGCATGATAACAAAGAGAATCTAAGATGTCATGTTGAGATAAATTAAGGAAGTGCGAATGGCTATAGCTCTTTCCCACCTTTACAAAGCCGTTGTTTTAGTAGAGTGTATTGAGAGGAAACGAAGAACCCTGCAAAATTATACTGGGTTATCCAGTTGGTTACATGGAGGTTAAGTGAATCTGGCTTCTGCATTGATTTTGCTTTTCAAACTGTTGCAAAAGGTGAACACGTCACCTTAGGACACAGCAAGAGTCATAAGTATGAACATAAGTATGTCAAGGATCTAACGTTTGATCACGTCACACTATAAGTGTGAAAAATGATCATAAGTCACTTTTTTGCTGTTGTCATAACTTTAAACGGTCACTAAGTGAACGGTAGGAGGTTGAGGACTACCTGTACTAGTCTAGCTCAATCTTGACATAAGGTTAAATAATAAATGTAAAGGTTTGGCCTGACAGCTGAAGAAAATGTAAAGACCAGCCACTACATTCTGCCAGCGAAGCAGAAAAGAAAGGGAACTAACAGGATGAGGAACAATTCTGGGCCAGGACAATTTAAACAACAATTAGCATTAGGTCTCAGAAACAGCAAACAGGTGTTGAAACACACACAAACTGAGGATCCCACGTCACACTGTACATCACATCATGCCCCACTGTAAACTGAGGGCATATACAGTTTCTCATTTTAAAATATACATGATGCTTCGCTTCAAGGGTTAGAGGGCCTAGACCAGGGGGAGGAAACCTTGGCTCTTTTTTGACTCGTGGACTCCAACTGCCAGAATTCCTGAGCCAGCCATGCTGAGGAGAAATGGAGAGGTTTCCAATCTGAGCCATGCTGGCTCAGGAATTCTGGGAGTTGAAATCCACGAGTCATAAAAGAGCCAAGGTTGCCTACCCATGGCCTAGACATTGGTTGATAACATAGATATTTCTCAAATTTATATTATATTGTTTTATTAGTCTAGATGAAATGTTAATATATATTGCAAATCCAGGTATGATATGCCACATACTAAACAAATAAACACACACAAACAGAGAGAGAGGGAGAAAGAGAGAGAGAGAGAGAGAGAGACAGAGAGAGACAGAGAGAGAGAGAGAGAGACAGAGAGAGGGAAATTGGAACAGAGATTTAAAGATTTGCTCCCAAATGGGAAATATCCAGTGTAACCATTCCTTCCTGTTGCCTTGCCTTGTTTTGCGCTGGTATTTATCACCACCAGCATCCTATTTATAGTTATTTATGGAATTTTGTATTTGCCCACAATTGTCTTCACTGCAAAAAAGTGTGGAAACAATTGACAATATTACCTGTCTCAGCCCGAGGGGTGACTAAAACAGCACAAACCGCAGGGACTAAAGACCTTCCTCAGCTCAGGACGGAGTTTTAGGCCCTGTGTTGGGAAAGGAGGAGGCCATTTCTGTTGTCCAGAAATTCAGTGAGTGGTGATTGGATCTTGGATTCATCAATCAAAGGACAGTAACACTGAGTTCCTCCACTTAGTTTATATTCATGTTTATGTTTATACATTTACAATCTTTCTTGCCACAGCTGTTAAGTGAATCAAGTTGTTAAGTTAGTAACAGGGTTGTTAAGTGAATCTGGCTTCTGTAAGGATTTTGATTTTCAAACTGTTGCAAAAGGCGATCGCATGACCTTCGGACATAGCAACAGTCATAAGTATGAACAAATGACAAAATTAGTGGACCAGAGGAATGCTGTGGATATAATTTACTATTACTATTATCAAATTGGAAAACATTTGAATTTTGATCACATGATCCTGGGACTACTAGTAAGGTCGTAAGTGTGAAAAACCGTCATAAATCACTTTTTTCAGGGCTGTAACTTTCAACGGTCACTAAATGATCTGTTGTAAATTGAAGACTACCTGCAATATGTGTACTTGATCCTGCTTCCAATAGTTTTCCTCTACCTTCCATTGAAATTTCTCTAATCACTTCACAACTCTGAAGTCTATGCTTCAGAAAGACAGTCATGACGTTAACTACGTTTGTTCCTGTTTGGGGCATCATATCAAAGTTAGATATATTTATAAACTCAAAGAGGATACAAGGACAGCATTTAAAATATGAAAATAAATTGGAATCCTCCCATTGGAGGAAGAAAAAAAAACTGTGTGAAACAATAGATGTTTCGGAAGTAAACCTGCAAACATGAAAAAAAATAAAAATTTGTTCTGTTTCCGTGAAGCATGTGGTTTAATATTTCACTATAACTGAAGTACAAGTTGTGAAGCTGGGTACTTTGAACCTGGGCTTTATTTTTTGTTTTTGTTTCTAGTTTATAATATTTGGAAATTGAAAAAAGAATATATTTGCTACTAGCAAGCTCATTCCTGAAGAAAGAAGAAACGTCGCCATTTATTAGGGCAGCGAATGCTTCAAAATTTATTTAGAAGAGATTTAAGAACAGAGTCTCTCTCCTGGTCATTAAAAATCTCTAACTTTTTTCTCTTCGAGCCTGAAGTCACATTACCAGTAATGGTTGTCCTCAACGTAAGACTGAAATTGAGCCCTGAATTACAGTGGTAAGTTGCTGCAGTCACAAGTCGAGGCATCATGTGACTGGACCCAAATTTTCAACATTTTTAGAGTAGTTGTTAAGCAAATGCTGTAGTCGTTAAGCGAATGCTGAAGTCATTAAGTGTTCGCTGGGGCGCTGCAAACAGTTCTAAAGGTAATCAGTTGCCAAGAATCCAAAATGGGATCATGTGATCATGGAGGTGGGGATATGCGGACACCATAATGATTAAAATAAGTCATAAGTAGTTCTGGGTCAGTTCTTCATAATTTCAAATGGTCATTAAGCAAGCAGTCATAAATCGAGGACTACCTATAACGATTAAATAATAGTATTTTATTAGGGAAAACCCTCAGAGCTGTTAGATCTGTAAGGGGAGAGGAGGGGCTGCCCTGGGCCTTCCTGAGCCAGGGCATGGGAGGAGGTGATGCACGTCTGGCCAGCCTTATTGGAGCCATGTCCCAGTCAAGCGGGGCATCCACTGGCACACGTCCAGCTTGGGAGGAGCTGAAAGGGGAGCGCGAGCCCTGCACATGATCAGAGCCTCCGCAGCCCCGAGGGGAGAGTGCACTATGTCCCCTCCCCTCCCTGGAGACCCTGTGTGAGGAGCCCTTCCTTGGGCAGGGGGTTGGTCTAAAAGCCACACCCTAGGATTGTATGATTCCTTCTGTGCTTTGTGCCACAATGATGGTGCTTCTCTGTTGTTCCTGTTCCCACATGAAAGGAAGAGGCCAAAGGCCACCAAAGGAGTCAGCCACCGGGCCGCCCAGACACTGCTAAACCCAGGTGAGCTGCCCTCCTTGGGTAGGTTTAGAATGTGGCCCTTGTTTACCTAGTTGCCGAGGCAACGAGGTTGTCAGTTTCCCTGAAAAGCCACCAACCAGGGCCCAACTGCCCATTCTCCCTTCGTGCAGTGAAAGGACAAACAGCTGCTTGGGGTCATGGCTGTACGGAGGTTTTTTAGAGTAAGTGTGGCCGTCTCAGCTGCCAAGAAACTGGCAGTAGTAGGGGAGAAAGTCATGCTTCGCAACTCTTCCGACTGGCTCATCTCTATTTCTCTTTTCTTCACAGAACATCTGGAAAAGATGTTCGGCGCTCTTCTGCTGCAGGAAGAGCGACGTAGAGGACCTTCCTGTGCCTCCTGACAGGTACCACCCCCTTCTCCTCAAACCCTGGGCATGGTGGGGCACCACTGATGGACTGCAGGGTCTCTAACAGCCTCTCCCCAAGATGGCTTTCTCTCGGCAAGCGGCTTGCAGAGGCCAAAAGATGGGAAGGCTGACTGGCTGGCTGGTCTTAGAAAGGAGAGGCAGAGCTAGATGGATATTTTTTGACATGTCATCTTTTTCTTTCGGTCAGAACTGACGAGGCACATGAACAGGCGGACCAGAAGGGAGAATGGTGGACACAGATTCGTGTGTCCGATGGACGCAGGCCTTCCTCCCAAGGGGTAAGGATGCTTCTGCGACATGGCCAGTCAGGGCTCATCCCTCATAACCGGATGGGGAAAGGGAGGAATTCTCACTTGGGGGAACCTGGCCAGCCTAGCAAAAGCAAGAGGAGCCTTTTGGATTCATGGAAAGATCTTGATGGCTTCCTATCAGCCAAATCTTCCATGATCTGCTTTGTCTTTCCCTGTTGAATGCAGTCTTTCCCTCCTGGGGAAGATAAACGTTCCACAACATGCAGGGGACTTTTAATTTATACTTTCAATTGTTACTTGCAGGGTTTGATGGGTGTTCGTGCCACCGCCCGGAGCCCCAGGAAGGAAGAGGTGATGCCAGTTCTCATTTCAGTGAGGTAGGTGTTCGCAGATTAAGTATTCTGAACCCCCCTAAAAGGCAGCCGCAGTAAAGCCCTAAAGAGAAGGGCTAGAAGAAACCTTTGCAGAGGCAGGGGGGGCATCGCATGGCTAGTTTTGATCTTTGGCCCTTCATTCTCTCCCTAGAAATGAGAAGATAGCGAAGTGGAGGCCGCGGCTCTCAACCATCTGGGAGACCTGCACTGAGTCGGTAAGCCCAGACCAGCTCCTCACCATGGCAATGGCAGAAGCCCTTTCGCTGTGGATTTGTTGATATGCCAACATTTGTAATATTTGCATTGTTATTTCAGGATCCTTCGGAAGAATACCGACCAAGAGAGGTGCAGGAGGAAAGCAGTGCCTGCCTATCAAGGTAGGTAACACCTCAGAGGGTGAAGCCTTTGCAGAGAGGAGGCATCTCTGACCTCTGCCTCTGCTTCTGCTAAAGGAAGAATCAAAGGCCAATCTCCTTGGCAGGCCAGCTGGAAGGGTTCTTAGAGCCTCCACGTCACCACTTTTTTAAAAAGGGCCCATGGCTGTTTTTGATGTTTGGCTCCTTCGTTTCTCTCCCCAGAGAGGAAAAGGAAGAGCACTGGAGGCCGCGACTCCCCCCCAGATCAGAGACCTGCAGAGAATCGGTAAGGCGCGAACAACTTCTACCCCACTAAACGAAGAACCATTGTCTCTGTGGAGATGCCAACAGACAGAATCTTTGCCTTTTTATTTCAGGACGAAGAAGACCAGCCGGCGGAGGAGCAGCTCTCTCCTACTGGGGAGAAGACGCATACTTCGGAGGTAAGAAAGTCTTGGCAATGGGGCCGATGGAGGCTCTCTTGCTGTTGGCGCACAGGGCCTGAATGCACCCTATCCTTTAGCAATCTTATTGGGATGCAGAAAGCTTAGGATTTATCCTCGATACTGTCATTTGCAGGATTCGATGGAAGTCCTGGTGGGCTCCCGGAACAACAGCCTGGAGGATTTTGACTCCATTTCTGCCCTCTTGGATGAGGAGTCTGAGGGAAGCTGGGAGCAGGCTGCAGAGGCTTCGGAGGCCAGCCTTTCGTCCAGTCCGTGGGTAAGACAGACAAAGTGTTTTCTCTTGGGGAGGGATAGAGTCCCTCTATTCAGTTCTCCTAATCTGAGTGAACTGTGCTGGAGAGCTCTGGGCAGTGGATAAAGGTGACACCTGGCCCTTGGGACAAGGTACTTAGGCTAACTAGAAGCACCCAAGCTGTGTTGCGATTGATTTACTGCAAACCAGAAGGGAAGGGCCAATTCAGTGGACTGGGGTCCTAAATAGATATGGCCCACCCTGTTTATCCCTTTCATTTTTCTGCATCATCCTCTCCAGCAACCAGCTGTTTCCAGGCAGGGCTTTAACGGGCAGAGTGGGTGGGAGTGGGGATTGGAACAGAAGCATTGTTTCTGATGGGAATCCCAAATCAATCGGGCCCCTTTTAGAAATTCTGAGTCTACTTTCATTGATGGATAAAAAGTCATCATTGTCATTCACAGGATTCTCCCGAAGAAGGGGAAGCCTCGCTGGACAATGTCAGCAGCCTGGAGGAGGACTCCCTGGACCTCAGTCTCTAATTAAAAGAGGTACCTATTTTAGCCTCTTTGTGGATCAATGCCTTGCTCAAGGAAACAATGAGCTCTGACGGGCAGGGTCACCCAAGTCAGACAGGTCATAGTGCAGAGTGCTGACATAACGTGGTGCACTGGAAAAGGAAATGGCAACCCTCTCCTTACTTTTGATACCCCACAAAAAGTATCAAAAGTAACTCCAGAAAGAACAAAGTTTGTATACTTTTATAGAAAGAGTGTGGTACTAAGAATAGCCTTTGATTCCTCCCCCAGACGCTTCCCCAGATGCCTCTCCAGAAGGCAGATCGGAGGAGGATGAACCAGTCCCAGGCACATCAGGAGGTGAGTTGGCCAATGCCTCCGAACAGCCAGCGGAGAGTGATTTGGCTGAAGCACAGCTGCAGCAGGAGAGCCCTGAAACTTCCGGGCAGCTGCAGATGGTTAGCTTTGAGCAGGAACTGCTTTCTGCATTATCCGAGAACAACTAGGGAAGAGAAAAGGCAGGAGCAGCAAAGGGCGGTTCTTTCACTCACGAGGAGGTAGTCTTGCCTTTCTTGATGGGCTGCACCAGAAGCTGGCAATTGAGCACAGCAGACAAATGGAGGCCATGCTGGGAACAATGCATTCATGACTAGGGGGTTGGAGTAGAAGACCTCCAAGGTCCCTTCCAACTCTTGGTATTCTGTTCTGGTATTCTATCTGCATATAGACGGATGGCGGAATCAGCCCCAGCGGCGAAGCCCTGCGAGGAGCCACTTTCCAACGAGGAAGTTCCTGAGTCTTGTTAATGTTATTGTTGTAATTCTTTTTGTTGTACCTGTTGTTGTTGTGCATCTTCTTGTTTTTGTTCTTGTTGTTTGAGAATAAAACTAAAAAATTCTTTATATCTGCTAATTTAGTTTAAACCTAGTTTCATTACACTTTTGTTAGGAATAACAAACTTTTCATTAAATGCAGAATTTCAGCAAACTTCTTTGTCTGTTTTCTCGTATTTTTTCCACCGTTCTATGGGATACAGTGATTAGTATTCACTTACAATATTAATGGAAACCTGACACTTCCAGAGGTTCCTCAGCTACGCGCAAGTAGTCCTCAACTTACCACAATTGATCCACAAATTTATCTTTTAAATACAACATTTGTTTAGTGACTTTTGCCCCATTTTACGACCTTTCTTCCCACAGTTGTTAAGCAGATCACTGCAGTTGTTAAGATAGTAATACAGTTGTTAAGAGAATGTGGCTTCCCCATTGTTTTTGCTTGCCAGAAGGACTCAAAAGTTGATCACATGACCCCGGGACACTGCTACAGTCATAAACATGAGTCAGTTGCCAAGCATCTGAATATCGATCATGTGACTAAGGGGCTACTGCAACGGACGTAAGTGTGAAACAAGATCATAAGTCCCTTTTTACAGTGCCGTTGTAACTTTGAATAGTCACTAAGTGAACTGTCGTAAGTGGAGGATTACCTGTACTTTCTGAACATCAACCAGTGTATTGTCTAGTAAGAAGGAGAATTTTGTTCAGCAACATCAGGAAGATCTGTCCTTGGAACATCATGATTGGAGGCACAGAAAGCACTGTAGATCTGCTATGGGGGCAGAAAGTTTGCATTCTTCCAGAAGAAGGAATATTACAGAAGAATACCCAAGTTACACTGGCTAAGAGGCAATAATTTCTTGCAACTCATGCTAGATTGTTGCACACACTAGCAAAATACTGTATATAAGATACACAAATGGGACAGCTAAAATGGCAAGGAAAGTGTATGTCCTATCCAGACGTGAACAATTTCCATGCCAGTGATTTCCATTAAACTGTAAATAAAAATGATCATGTGAATGGCAACATAGCATACCTTGCTTTGTTATTCTCCTCTCAGTAACCTTGTTAATTGGTACTACATTTTCCATTGAAAAAGATGTGTTGCTTCACGTTTAGTAAGAATAAGAATATAAGGTATTTAGGGCTTGGATTCAAAGGCTTGATGTTTGCCCTCTCCCCCATCTGCACTCATGCAATTGCATTGTGGGCAATCAGCAACCAGATCACATTCAGAGCTTTTTGCAGCATCCCACAATCATGTGACTACAGCTTACAATGTTTTGCTGGCATTGACTACCAATATCTGGTAAAAAATGCCCATTCTGAAAAATGGGTACACTTAACGACTGCAGCTTTCATTTAATGACCGCTGCAAACACCGTTGTAGAATAGGTTTGGTCACATGATGTCTTACTTAATCACCAGTAAGACTTACCGTCTTAATTCCAGACTGGTATTAGGTGCCAAATGCTATTACTCTTTTTTTAAAGATATGAAAGATTATCAGTATTATCCTCTGTGCATCTCCATCTACAAAACCGCATTTGCATACAGCTCTGCAATTCAACCCCTCTAACCGATTTTCTCTGGAGAGGTGAGCGCAACTCCCAGACTGGCCATTTCTCTCCATGTAAATGGTGGCCTGACAGCGACTGCAATCTGACCGCTTATAGAGAGGCACCAATTTCATCTGGCACAGGCAAACACATGTCAACTTCCCAACCAAAAGTACAAGTAGTGCTCGACTTACAACCACAATGGAGCCTAAAATTTCTGTTGTCAAGAGAGACATTTGTTAATGGAATTTTGCCCCATTTTATGACCTTTCTTGCCACAGTTATTAAGTGAATCACTCCAGTTCATAAGCGAGTAACCTGGTTGTTAAGTGAATCTGGCTTCCCCATTGACTTTGCTTGTCAGAAGGTCACAAAAGGAGGTGACATGACCTTGGGACACAGGAACGGTCATAAGTATGAACCAGTTGCCAAGCATCTGAATTTTGATCACAGAATCATGGGGATGCTGCAAAGGGGGTAACTGTGAAAAACGAACATATGTCACTTTTTTCAGTGACGTTGTAACTTCGAATGGTCACTAAATGAACAGTGGTAAGTTGAGGACTTCCTGTAATTTGGAGGGCTATTTCTTCTATAGACAAGGAGCACTGATGATGTCTTGCAATATACATCTTAAAATAAATAACCAACCTGGAAACATTTTTGGAATACGAGTTTACTTACAGAAGAAAGATTCTATATTTACCATTTAATAATAGGCTGGAAGATAAAACCCCAAAAAGATATTTATCAGAGGCCATAAAAGTCACTTAGAAGCTGAATTTAACAGAATGACAGAGTTGGAAGGGACCTTGGAGATCTTTTAGTCCAACCTCCTAGAATTCCAGAAGTGAAGAAGGGGTTTCCAAGTTGAAAAAAAAGTACTCATGTGTTGTTGTTGTTTTCATCAAAGGAGTCAATTTAGCCATCTCTGCTACCTCCATCAACTTTTGCAACCATTCCTCCATTGTGGAGATCGAAATGTCCTTCCCTTTTTGTACATAAAGTAGTCTGGCTACCATCAACGTATATAACATTGAAGTTCCATCATTGTTTCCAAGTCTTTTTTCCATTAAGCCAAAAAGAACAGTTTCTGCTTTTACCTTTATATTCACTTTCAGAATTTTCTGTATTAGAATAGAAATCCTACTCCAATATTTCTTTACTTTATCACATGTCCACCGTAAATGATAAAAGCTCCCTTGGGCCAGGATGTTTTTCAGGGGGCTGTGAATGTAGACACGAGTTGCCTCTGGTGTGATGCGTATTTTGGTCGTTGATGATGCCGACAATATTGCAATGATTAATGTTAATTATTATTTACTGCCAAAAGTCATATTGCAAATGGGTACCTATATATATTGAAATAGAAAAAGCTTTATTGATTATCTAGAGATAACTCCCAACTTTTCAGCATTTTCCAAGTTCCCCACATCCCAATGCCACTCAAGCACTGCTCTAGGCCGCTGACCACAGTAACCGAGCTACACAAATATTGTATAGTAAGGATGGGTTGTCAAAATGAAATACAATAACAGAAGAACGAATCCTCCTTTATCAGAAGTCCTAGGAGGCAAAGAATGCATAAATGCAGAAGAAAAGTTTGATTTTTAAGAGACACCAGAGCTGTTATTTCAATCAGTGCATTCCCCAATGTTATTGCCATGTGATAACAACAACAAGGGCCAGAATGCAATAGGTCTGTCACTAACAACTATGGAAAACCCGCTACTTGCCATTTCCACGATTCTTCTCATAAAGTCTAGTCATTTGCTAAATCCACTAAATACGATGACTGAGCAGCTACTGTTTTACCATAATATCCTACAAAACAGAGAAAGGCATGATAAAAAAGAGAATCTAAGATGTCATGTTGAGATAAATTAAGGAAGTGCGAATGGCTATAGCTCTTTCCCACCTTTACAAAGCCGTTGTTTTAGTAGAGTGTATTGAGAGGAAACGAAGAACCCTGCAAAATTATACTGGGTTATCCAGTTGGTTACATGGAGGTTAAGTGAATCTGGCTTCTGCATTGATTTTGCTTTTCAAACTGTTGCAAAAGGTGAACACGTCACCTTAGGACACAGCAAGAGTCATAAGTATGAACATAAGTATGTCAAGGATCTAACGTTTGATCACGTCACACTATAAGTGTGAAAAATGATCATAAGTCACTTTTTTGCTGTTGTCATAACTTTAAACGGTCACTAAGTGAACGGTAGGAGGTTGAGGACTACCTGTACTAGTCTAGCTCAATCTTGACATAAGGTTAAATAATAAATGTAAAGGTTTGGCCTGACAGCTGAAGAAAATGTAAAGACCAGCCACTACATTCTGCCAGCGAAGCAGAAAAGAAAGGGAACTAACAGGATGAGGAACAATTCTGGGCCAGGACAATTTAAACAACAATTAGCATTAGGTCTCAGAAACAGCAAACAGGTGTTGAAACACACACAAACTGAGGATCCCATGTCACACTGTACATCACATCATGCCCCACTGTAAACTGAGGGCATATACAGTTTCTCATTTTAAAATATACATGATGCTTCGCTTCAAGGGTTAGAGGGCCTAGACCAGGGGGAGGAAACCTTGGCTCTTTTTTGACTCGTGGACTCCAACTGCCAGAATTCCTGAGCCAGACATGCTGAGGAGAAATGGAGAGGTTTCCAATCTGAGCCATGCTGGCTCAGGAATTCTGGGAGTTGAAATCCACGAGTCATAAAAGAGCCAAGGTTGCCTACCCATGGCCTAGACATTGGTTGATAACATAGATATTTCTCAAATTTATATTATATTGTTTTATTAGTCTAGATGAAATGTTAATATATATTGCAAATCCAGGTATGATATGCCACATACTAAACAAATAAACACACACAAACAGAGAGAGAGGGAGAAAGAGAGAGAGAGAGAGAGAGAGACAGAGAGAGACAGAGAGAGAGAGAGAGAGACAGAGAGAGGGAAATTGGAACAGAGATTTAAAGATTTGCTCCCAAATGGGAAATATCCAGTGTAACCATTCCTTCCTGTTGCCTTGCCTTGTTTTGCGCTGGTATTTATCACCACCAGCATCCTATTTATAGTTATTTATGGAATTTTGTATTTGCCCACAATTGTCTTCACTGCAAAAAAGTGTGGAAACAATTGACAATATTACCTGTCTCAGCCCGAGGGGTGACTAAAACAGCACAAACCGCAGGGACTAAAGACCTTCCTCAGCTCAGGACGGAGTTTTAGGCCCTGTGTTGGGAAAGGAGGAGGCCATTTCTGTTGTCCAGAAATTCAGTGAGTGGTGATTGGATCTTGGATTCATCAATCAAAGGACAGTAACACTGAGTTCCTCCACTTAGTTTATATTCATGTTTATGTTTATACATTTACAATCTTTCTTGCCACAGCTGTTAAGTGAATCAAGTTGTTAAGTTAGTAACAGGGTTGTTAAGTGAATCTGGCTTCTGTAAGGATTTTGATTTTCAAACTGTTGCAAAAGGCGATCGCATGACCTTCGGACATAGCAACAGTCATAAGTATGAACAAATGACAAAATTAGTGGACCAGAGGAATGCTGTGGATATAATTTACTATTACTATTATCAAATTGGAAAACATTTGAATTTTGATCACATGATCCTGGGACTACTAATAAGGTCGTAAGTGTGAAAAACCGTCATAAATCACTTTTTTCAGGGCTGTAACTTTCAACGGTCACTAAATGATCTGTT